TGCGTGTTGTTCAATTCGAAGTATTGTTGTCTTTGGCCCTGATTTGGCAACAGTCTTTACACGTGCACTTGCAGGCTAAACCATCTATGTTTTCGGTTGAATTCGGTTTCATGATAGATCGAGTTTAAGGGAGAGATAGTTCCATGGGGTTGGAAAAGTGACCTTTAAGTTATGTCCACTACGCTTAATCATTGTATCGCGCTGATGCGTTGTTCCTCTGTCAGTGTGCCGGTAACGTAATGTTGAAACGTACCGGTGTCGTAAATTGCATACCGATGAATAAATAGTCGGGAGATTTGCTTTACCTGTTCAACTGACTGCAGGGAGAACGAATTTCTTCATTTTGCCAAACCAAAAACATACGTATATAAGAATAAATAAAGATGTAAAGATTTGCTAATTTTCCAAAGCACTTACTTACCGGAACATTTCAAATTAATATAAAACATAACTGAACCATTATCACAAATTCTTCACTAAAATGACATCCGGAAATTCAAGAAAACGAGGTTATGAAAAAGCGTTTGTAAAACTTGGATTTACTGAAGTAAATGGTAACCCTAATTTTGTGTCTGCGAGAAAATTCTTTTCAAAGAATAAATGAAACAAAACAAACTACTACGTCACCTCGAATCAAATCACCCGGGTTGCGTCAATAAACCCGTTGAATATTTTGAACGCAAATTGGATGTGCTATTAGCACAAGCAAAAGTCATGAAAGTATTTACTACTGTAAATAAATCCGCTGTATACGCTTCCTTTATTGCTTCTTACGAAATAGCAAGGCAGAAGAAACCACATACAATCGGAGAAAAACTGTTACTACCAGTAATTAAAATGGTTGTAAACATCATGATAGGAGAAAAGGAGAGCGAAAAGTTGAATTCTGTCGCATTGTCGGACAACACCGTTAAAAGAAGAATCGAAGACATGTCCGGTGATGTGCTTGACCAAATCGTTGATCAAACGAAAGCTTCTCCTTACTATGCCATTCAATTGGACAAATCTACCAATGTAGCAAGTTTCCCACAACTCTCAGTATTTATAAGATATAGTTATAACGGAGAGGGTCTTGGAAAATCTGTTGTTTTGTAAAACTCTGCCATTACATACGAAAGGGCAAAACATTTTTAATGTCTTGACAGATTCGTCATTCATAATTCAATCCCGTGCGAGAATTGTGCGGGAATTTGCACCGATGGCGCAGCGCCAAATACTGGTATCGAGTCTGGAGTTGTGAAACTAGTTAGAGACAAAGTCCCAGGCATAAAATGGATGAACTGTTTTCTGCACAGGCAGGCATTGACAACAACAAAAATGTCGGAGGAGTTGCATGAAACACTAGATGCTGTTATAAAATCCGTTAACTACATTAAGGCAAGACCTCTCAATCAACGTCTGTTTTCTTCTTTGTCACAGGAAATGGGCTCCGAGCATTCTTCATTGTTATTATATTCAGAAGTGCGATGGTTGTCACGAGGTCGAGTTCTAAATAGAGTTGTTGAACTGCAACAAGAGATAATCACTTTTTTAACGAAACAGAAACAAATATCTTTAGCTGAAAAATTCAGCCAAGAAAATTTTATAGCAAACGTGACGTATTTAGCGGATATATTTGCCTCGTTGAATTCGCTCAATCAAGCCATGCAAGGTCCCGGATTCACTGTCATCGATCACAAAGCGAAAATTACAGCTTATTACAAGAAGTTGAATTTGTGGAAAAGTTACGTGATACGAAATGAATATGATATGTTTCCCCTGCTGAAGGCATATATTTTTGAAAGAAACGTCAATATGCGGGATACCATATCTGAGCAACTTGCTAAAAGGCTTGAACAGTATTACGATATCGCAATAACGCCCACTAACAAGCAAGATTGGATGATTAATCCATTTGCAATTACAGATTATCCTGAGCTGCCCCTACGTGTTGTAGAGAATCTCATGGATATGACTGCTGAGCCATCAAACCGACTTTCATTTGCATCATTCAAGGAAACACATTCAAAATTATCTGCAAATTTTTATTTTTGGGCTTCAATGTGTTCGGTTTATCCGACTGTGTCAAAATTTGTGATAAAGGAGTTGATTCCTTTTGCAACAACATACCCCTGCGTAGCAGGATTTAGTGCATTGGCTGTACCTAAAACAAAACACAGAAATAGGTCGAGTGTAGAAGATGACATGTGACTGTGCCTCAGTAACATTACACCAAGGTTTCAAAAACTGACAAACGATGTACAGGCGCAATCTTCTCATTAACATAATTGGAGCCACTGCTAGCTGCTGCCAGACACCCAGAAATTACCAGTCATCCCTTTGGCTTGTTTGTTTCCCGAGGATACGTACAATGTGTCTGAACAGTCAGTTTGAGTCGCTGGCTTACTTCAGTGAGAAGACGATACGCGGAACAGTTAAACCAAATAAATAAACTAGAAAAGAGAAACGAAAAAAAAAGTAAATTCCAAGTTTGAAATTCATGTGCATGTGCTCATTTCCGTATTACGCTCGCTCTCAAATGGCGACTTTTGTCACTTCGTCTCACCTGCTTTGAAAGCTATACTCCCGCTCTCCACGGTCTTCTCTTAGCCCAGCCTTGTCGACTAACGCCAAAGATAAGCAAACAAACAGTTCGTTGTTTTATTCGTTATATCTCTGTTCTTTCCGTGAATATACTCTTTCTATTTATTATGCCGTAATCTAGTTCTAACATGTATTTCTTACGGTTTTTAACCATACTATAATTTATACAAATAGTAGTTTTGTGGGATTTTAGAACAAATTAGGGCATTTACAGGTAAAATGTGTCCCTAACTACGAAGGGATTTAGGAACGAATTAACTTCGTAGGTATGGTTTCTAATGCTTTTCTTGTTGCGGGGTGGCGAGTATCTGTAAATGTTGATTTTACGAAAATTGGGATCGCGAAAAAAAAGGTTTGGAACCACTGCACTACAGTACAGTACATCTTTCTAAAGAGTGAGATTGTAATTCGTGTTGACTGCTGGGGATACTCAAATCTGTGATTGGACCTGAGACGGACTCGAATTTTTTTTAAAACTGAAAGCGAATCCAGTTTTCTAACTGATATGTTAGTGACTTGACACTCGAGGCTCCACTTGTACTTGGGACTCGAAGTTTTGAATTTGCCGAGACTTGGACATGACTCAAAACTTGAGTGAGAAATTTATAGACCAGTGGTTCTCAACCTTTTATTGCTCATGGCCCCATTCCGGGGCCTTTTGCGCTCGTGGCCCATTGTACGTCATTCCAAAAAACTAAGCGTGTTAGATTGTATTATGTTTTTACGACCTTTCATGGAATAAAAAAAGCCAACCACAGACAGGAAAGTAAAAGCTTTTTAGTATACAATCAATGGGAATCGTGCGCTTGGGACTGTCTGACGAGGTTTCTTATTTTAGATACCGTCTTTAATAAAGCCAGACGAATGTCACTGTCAATCAACATCAAGACGGTTTCTGAATTTTGTTTCGATGGTAACAAGATCAGAAGAACCCTATTCGCGCACAAGAGTTTTGGCAAATTCAACTAGCAGTGAATAAGATTTCTTGCTAAGTAGTGAGTAAGAATCTGATATGCCACTTCATGGCTGCATATTAGAGCGGGCTTTTCCTCCGACAGAAACCCGAACTTAGCCAATGTTGCTTTCTTGTCAATCTCACTCGCTTGGCAGCCAAGAAACCGAATTCAACGTCTATTAACGGGGGGTGATTTTTGTCACGGGGGTTTTAGAGTTTAGATGGACGTATGTTTCATTGCTCATTACATGCAAGCATCGAGCATATTCTCTGTCATCTCGATTTACTTTGGTAAAGCCAAAGCCAACGTAACTGTCGTTTCATTTTCGTATTTTGGGCATTAGGAATTTACAAATGGGTTTTTGCGTTTATAATACATACGATAGCGAAGGTTATTTCGCAGTCTAGTGAGACTGCACGTCTACAGGCTAGACGGCCTACCGGCGACCTTCTTTGATTGGTAGATTCCAAATTCCATTATGATCAAACAATTGACGCACAAGAAAGTGAATACATCCTGCGATCGCAAATAGGCGATTGCAAATGAAACTGCGGTGAACGCCTGAACGGGAAATTTCATTTACAAAATAAAAATTAAAAGAAAAGTATGCGAACAAAGTCGCTTTATGATCAATTCTCAGTCGTGTGTTGTGGTCCCCCCTCGAGCTGCTTCGTGGCCCCTTTGGGGGGCCCCGGCTTCCGGTTGAGAACCACTGGTATAGACTGAACTTCCATTTAGATTCAAGAGCGTTAGAAATAAGCTGGCCATCGTACCTCTGATTACCCTACGTGGGGTCCTCCACTAACGCTTAGCACAATGCACCACACCGCCGAGTCAGAATTCTGTACTTACCTGCGTAGCTCTGTTTGGTAATTAACTATGTGGTGTCAAAAGCGCTAATGCTTGGCATAATACACCAGCTATCTCCACCAATTTTTTTTTATCTCCATTTCATTAGGTCAACGCAATTTAACCTTTGATTCACATGATGTCAATGTGTTGTTAGGAGACACAAAAACAACATCAGGTTAGTTTAATTGAAGTTTTAGATCGACCGAGCAGTGGAACGTTGTTATCTATTTTTCCTTTTGTCCCAGAATTTTGATAAAGTGCACTGGTCTGTGTTCATTATGCTTTATGCTACAGTTTGATTAGACCTCTGATTTTTTTGATTTTTTTTGAGCTGGTTAAATAAACACATATTTTGACAAATGGGTCATTTTATGGGAATTTCATAGCATGATAATATCTTATCATATCACAGCAAGATATTTTTCTCAGTTAACTATCGGAGTAAGGCTTTTCTTGTCAACTTAATCTATTTTTCGAATTTTTGAAGTTAAATTAATGTAGCATAGGACAGTGGATAAAATAAGATTTAAATATTTATCCCTGGGGAGAGGATGGTCGATAAGTCAACTTAATCAAAAAGCGAATCATGGCCTCTCAGGTTATCAATCCATGTCGGGTATGTGATCAGTTAGCCAGTAATTTGTTTCAGATGCAAAGATTTCAAAGTAGGAGAAGCTGTGTGAAACACCCTACAACGGCAAGTTATCGCACATCATTTTTTCCACAGGATTCAATCTCAATCAGGATAATCATAGATGCAGTGGGAAGTGTATTCCTAACACTTAGCACAATGTGCCACCCACCCCAAGTCTGACCACAATACAACAATAGTTTTTATACAATGCTTCCTCATGCATTTTGCTGTGAACAAGACCCAGTATAAGCATCCTCTAATTCTTAATGTAAATAAAAATGTATTTAAATATTCAGCAACCGGGCTCATATGCCGGTGGAGATGATCAGTCAAATACAACACGTTTTTATAAGTTAGTTACAAATAGTTTTGTCAATAATAACAAAATATCACATCAATCATCAATAATAACAATCAAATATCATCAATAATACCAAAATATCCCCCCCCCCCCCCCTAAATTAAATAGCTGGGAAACATAATGACATGTGATTGATGAAGATTTGCCATCTGCAAAGATATTTTCGGTTTAGATATTGATTCCCAAAAAAGATAGTTCAATATTTTGCACCCCAACCCTATGTAGTATCTTGCTTTGAGTGCTTGATAAAATTTTCATTTTTATTGCCAGATTTGAACCAGATTTCTCAATTTGGCACCGATGTTGACAAGTTGCCATCTGCAGAAGCAAGAGCTCAACACTCAGAACGTAAGTGAAACCATATGCTACGATTCCGGATCATAATTGGGGGCTCCAGAAGTGTGTGTACCTATATGGAGATAACTAGTTTTGTTTGTCTACCTTACATCAAGTTGTTTTAAGGGGATATTCACTTGGCTAACACAGACATTTGCAAACTTGTATTAGAACTAAAATAAGAAACATCGGAATGAAATTTTGGCCTAACCCTAACCTTGTACACACACTACGGGTGAATCCATAATTGTCATTGTATCATTGTCACATTTATTTGCTATTTTTGAGTCCAGTGGGGATGATTAAGTGCAAGGCTCCTTCCAGACACAAAGTTTTTCCAAATCGTTTGTTTTACTCTTTCATTGAAGTCCAAGCATCTGGAACAACTGGTTAATTACTATAGCGCTCATTGACGTAAATCAAAAAATGTAATACGACAGCAAAAATGAGTTGCTCCAAACAGGTACAGATCATAAGCCTGGCATATAATTGAGACAATTTGGTAAACTTGGGACAGTATTTGGAAATCATGTGGCATTTGGTATCATGTGGCAACTCACAGCCTTTTGTCTAGTTAACAATCAATGTCGGGTATAGGATTTGTTAGCCAGTTATTCGGTTCAGATGTATTGGCGAGGAATCTATAACTGACCACCGGTTACGTGAACCACCCTGAATAATGTGTGGAAAAATAGACATTGGGTATCAACTTTTTCACACCAGTATAATGAAACAAGAAATACTTCAAAGTGTTGATGACGAATTTTGAGCAGCTTTTCCTAACTTCTGCAACTAGACCCAAACTCTGGAGAAAACAAAATAATCAATGACTTGTTAAACCCTACCTAAATTTTTCAATTAGAACTGAAAACTGACAAACATTAAATTCACAATGTTCACGACCATGCCTGAAAACTGTGGGATAGAAAAAGTTGAAGTAGAAAAGTGTTTGAGCAGTTTTTGAATTTGAATTTTTATGTCAGCTTTAACATATTGCTTATGAGCCACTCATTTGGATTTGAACAAATCAAGGGAAACATGCTTAAACTTTATATTCACATGGGCAGGGAGGATTTGAATATAATTTTAAAATAGTTGAATGTTTGCATCAGTGATGTTTTAGAACAAGGGTGTCAAACTTGTGGCCCCGGGGACGCATGCGGCCCTCGAACAATCAACAATACCTGTAATCTTTTGTAATGTTTTTTATCTGAATGCAATACATTTTTCAAAACTTTCAAAGTGAAATTGATTATTCACACAGAGAACGACAATTTACAGAAAGTAGTTTTGAAAAGTTACATTTTTTTTGTTCACATTTTGACCCAATTATAAATACAAGCTAGCAGAAAAATACTTGAAAAAAAAACACACACATTGATTAAATGAAACGCAAAGTTCATGAAGGGGGCGTTAATGAAGAAAAATGGGTGTTGCAATATTGCTGCATTTTAAAATAATCCAAATTAACCGATGATCATGCGACCTCGTTAATTAGAGTAAAAGAGTAGTACCGTAAAATCATTTCATCCTGATATTAGTAAACTGGTGGCCCAAAAGAGATGCCAAACCCTATACAGGGTGTCTCGAAAGTCAATATACACTTTTGATTTGCTTTCCAGGTACTCATCATAGAAGATTCATTTCTTCAGAAAACATAGTGTCGATAAGTAGTAAAATTTAGGTATTATTTGCATTTTTCATCGACTCATAGAATGGAAAGGAGATTAACCTAAGAAATGACGTGCAAAATTGCTGTTTGACAAGAAGCATATAAATCAGTGAGGCAAACTCAGCGCGTCTTTAACGTAGAATTTCGAATTGATTCGGCTCCAACACAACAAACAGTTTATGCAGTTTGTCATAAATTTATGGAAACTGGATCTGTAGTTGATGCACAAAGATCAAGAAGGCCCAGGAGCGGACGCTCCGAGGAAACAATGCGAGCCGAGGTAATTCCAAATTCGCTGTTAAAGAGGCGCTTAGTTTGCCTCACTGATTTATATGCTTCTTGCCAGACAGCAATTTAGCACCTCATTTCTTAGATTAATTTTCTTGTCATTCTATGAGTTGATAAAAAATGCAAACAATACCTAAATTTTACCACTTGTCCATACTATGTTTTCTGAAGAAAGGGACGCTCTATGATGAGTACCTGGAAAACAAATCAAAACTAAAAGTGTATACTTACTTTTGAGACCCACTGTATATTTAGATTAAGTCATTATCGTGTATGTATTATTCTTTCCTTATCAAAACTAAACTTCGTTCAAAAATGTTTTGGATAGTTGTACATAAAATTTCATGATTTTTTGTAATAAATACAGTAAATTGCAATAATAGTGAAATGCAAGAAATTAATATGTAAATGGCATCTGGAATTTTAAAAAATGACAAAACTTCCTTCAGCTGTTTAATTACATCACAATATATGTCACAAACAACATCTATCTATAAATATACTTTAGGTATACATTACCAATGCGGCCCCTGAAAACCCACGAGTTTGACATCCCTGCTTTAAAAAAGTTTTAAATTCATGCGAAAAGTTTTAGTAACATATATTAGTTTGTGATTTATTCATTTCACAAATATTCTGAAAAATAATCTAGTTTTTCTGTTTCAGATATGTCGCGCATTGCAAAGGACCATTTACAGGGTAAATGTTTATTTCTGTTAAATATTAATATACTACCAGGTCTTACATGTTACAGATTACCTTAACTCACATATGGACACATTACTTTTTCAACTACATACTTGTATCCCATTGCACATTTAACTCTTATCCCATTTTTTTTTGCTTCATATTGAAACGTGTGCCATAGCATCTAGTTTTCATCCTAAGTGGGTACTATGCCAGATCCAAGCCCGATAAATAATTGTGATGGATTTACACCATCCCTGAATAACTTTTAGGTATATACATAACTTTCTGGCTCTCATGTATTCTAAAAATAGTTCTTGTGAATCTCAACAAAGCTGACCAACGACATTTTCAGAACTTTTCATATACCCCATGTATTTTTAAGAATAGTACCTGCAATTTGTAATTCAAAGCATTTTTTCATTGTCCAAAAAATACATTCAAGTATGATTAATAAACTTGATATAAAATATCTGCAGATAATTTCTTTCAGTATCTATACCAAATGCTATCCATGCTCTATTACTACCATTTATATTTATACAGCCTCTGTTGTAACTGGTGACAACACATCTGCAAGCTTTCATGGAAGCTCAATCAGCATAGATGTCGGTGAGTTGAAATCATGCTTTAAAAATATTGGTTTTGAATGAATTGAAAAAAGTATTGAGTAATAAGGATATAGGTTGGCAAACAGAAACATTTTAGAATAAATATACAATCATGTACTCTCATTTGGCAATTTTTCATATTTTTAATTGCCGATGTAAACTCTCTGGAAAGTGGTCTATGTGCTGTGACATGTTTCAAACTTGCCAGAGAATGGTGAGGCAAAAATAACTAATACTGACCTAGTTTAAATTAGAGTTTTTAGATTTATTGCTATGCAATAGGACAGAGAACCTACCCACTTTCTCAAGTGTATTATGTTTTAATAAAAATAGATATACAAAAAGGTGATTAATTATCCAATGCTCCATTTAAAAATAAAATTTATTTTTGATATTGAAATTCAATCTTGTTACAGGGAACAAAACATACAATAAATACAATGAATATGGTAAATGTAAGTATGGAGATAAAATTAATAGATAGTAGAATTTTACTAGAGCTGTAATTGCTACCCCAGTGGTTCTTAAACTCTTTTTTTCGCGACTCAAATCTGAGTTATATGAATATTCGCGACTCTTTTTAAACATCGCAAAAATGTGTTTTTAATGTTAGTAATGTTTGACTCAAATACAGAAAACGATTTATTAGAAACAGTCCGTTGACTCAATGTGATTGGTAAAACTCACAATGCATCAGAGGAACGGAAACCTTATGTGGGTATTATGCTAGGATATTGAAAAATGATCGCCACGGGTGTGCTAAAACACACATGCGTATTATCTGTGGGTGCGTATTAGTCCATGAGAATGTGGTATATTTCATTGTTTTTAAATAACATAATTAAGAAGCTGAATTGAGACATCGGGCAAGACATTGAGACACGTTTGGGTCGCGACACATACTTTAACACCACTGTGCTAGACTATTACACCACTATCGTGATTTATTGGATTAAACAGTTTTTTAATAAAACCTGAGCGAGAAACTGGGATCTATTATATAGTTCACCCATTAGCTTCTATTTTATCCATTATTTGAAAATAATATCCTAAAATTTCATTGTTTTTTTAATTTTAACTACCTTGAGAATCTTAGTTCAATTCTCACTGTATGTCAATCAGGGTGGTCCAAACCCAGGCCCGCGGGCCACATGTGGCACGTCGCTGCATTATCTGTGGCTCGCGTCGCATTTGCGGGATGGTAAACAAAAATTGCATTGGGTGTTGTTTCCTCATAAAAAAACAGAAAAATTTCTTAAAATATTATTACATCACTAGTGTCCCTGAATTGACAATGTTATTGTGTTATGGCTAGTTGTGACAACTGGTGACGTTGAATAATGGGCTTGGCTAGTCTAAATTGTTTACTGACGTTCCATCTTTTTGGTCAGGAATATATGCTAACAAAATACACCCTATAGAAAACTAGAATCAAATGAGGAATCTATTAGACTAGGTTTGCTATGCCTGATAACTAAGTATGGTGGTCCCGTAGTACGTGCACCAAGATGGGCCCCAACCTGAACATAGTATGTGTACCAGGTTGGGGTTATTAGGTTGTTAACCATCTTTGGGCACATACTACGGGAGCACCCTAAATATTAATATTATGCCCAAACAATATATTTCCTACTGAGTGTTTTTTGCGACCAGCATAAACAATATTCAAAACAATGCTGTCTATATGTCAGAAAATTTAGTAATTACCCTCCTGTGTCTCAAATTTGAAAAACAAGATCGGTAATGGCTAAAGTTATATATATGTAAGTTATTTTGTCCAGTTCAAACAGATTTTTGACTGGATATGAGAGGGAAAATACCACAGTGCTTGCTTGATATGTCTGGAAGTTGTGTCGGTGACAAACTAAAATGGCATTTTCTCCTCATGACACTTTATTGTTATTAAGTGTTTGAAAAACTAGATATAGTAAGATTTTTGATGGTTTTTGCATGTATTAAAGCGATAAATAAAAAATAATGAATATTGTGTTTGGACAATAAAAATATTTGTTTTGTATTGCACTTTTTACATATTCTTGGCACTATTGTTTCCCGCGAACAATACTAAAATATTAATGTGGACCGCGACGCCGACAGCCTTGGTCCAACTTGTTATAGATGTTTAATTGAAGGAGCAAAGTGGAATATTTAATATTGAAAGGAATGTAATGGAATTTACACAATACGAAATTCTGTTTTCACTTTTCGATTTTAATTTGTATATGTTTCAGCAAATTCAGACAACATTTTAAGAATTTGATATAGACCATCGTTTAACAGGTCAAAGTATAAAAGTTGTTCAATCCAAGTTTCCAGAAGGCGAGTTCATATCAGGTGCAATACTCACCTGGGATCTCCCCAAAACCAGAAAGAATGTCAAGAAGATTCAAGTAAAAATCGGTGATAGTTCGGGTGAAGTTTGTCATTCTCCAATTCTGTCTAACTCTTCCAAGCAATGGGGAATTTATGACGAGAAGCTTAAATGTGGTAAAATATACCATGCTACTATCTACTGTACCTATGATAAAGATGGCGAGTTCCAGCACCCTTGGGGAGATATAGAATTCCATACACGTGAGTATTTTTAAACTTTACAAAAAGTCAAAACTGGTTTACTTCATCATAATCATATATCAGAGTTGAAGTCGAGCTTTGGAATTGGATATTGTTGAAATTAAATAGCATTATAGCAACAGTTGTTGTTTTCATTTTTCAAGTTCCAAATCAGTTGGTGAAACAGTTTTATTTCGATGACTAGAAGACTACCCTTACTATTCTCTTTTTTTGTTTTTTTATTTTCCAGGGCCAGCAAAGCCGAACGAATTCACAATTACATGCAAATCTGATTCTTTTACTTTGAAATGGTCAACGTCAACAGGAAATTGTGACAGACACATCGTTGAAATCTTTGGCATAGACAAACGTGCTTTGCTTGTCCGTAGGGAAGTTAAAGATCTTGCGCAAGATTGCAAGTTTGATGTTGATAACCAGAGGGATATCTATCTTGGTAGACAATACAATTTCAAAGTCACTGCATATTATAAAGATCTAGAAAATCCATCCAAAATGAAGAAATTATTTGTTGGTAATTAAAATTTATTTTTATTCCTAATATTGTATTTCTATTATTGCATGGATTTGTTATGAATGAACTTCTTATAAAAGAAATTTATTAGAAGACGTAAATCCATTTTATGCCTTTTCTTTTCTGAATACCCCAAAATATAATTTTGATTATTTAGCGTGTCAATTTGTTACAATATCATCAGAGATATTTGTCTAGATCTAGATCTAGGTTCTTGAACTTTTGAGTCGCGCCCCCTTTGTGAGCAAGCCTCAAGCTCCAGTTCAAAAATAACTAGCTAACAATAAGCTGCAAACAACAGAAGATAAGACAAAAGTATGTTTTATTCGAATGTGTTGAAAATAAGTGGATGAAATGTAAGTATCCAAAATAAAGAAATTTGAATATCTAAGATAAGAAAGGCAAGAACAAATCTTGTTCAAATCAAATATTTTATTTTCAAGAAGTTTCATGTCCCTCAAAAAATTGCCCCCTCTTGTGGGCACCCGACCCACTGTTTGAGAATCACTGCTCTAGTTTTTATTTAATTCATGTTAAAATAGTTTCTGCTTTGTTCTGATTTTTAAGAACACCATCACATGACCACTACTGCTATTACCATTTCTTGCAATGAGGTGTTTTTCTGTGGTTTGCCATATGCTAAAGACATCCTCTTTCTTTTTTGTTGGACTATGGAATTTGAAAATCCACTCGAGTGAATTTTTGAAAACTTACAAAAGTTTTATAAAATTTAAAACCCTTTGACTAATAAATCTTCTAATGTTTCCAGGTGATGAGAATGGTCCCCGAGAAGTGAGAGCAGAATTTATTGGAAATACAAACGATGTTGAATTGACATGGAAGCGTCCTAATGGAATTTCCGGGATTCCGACAGTAAACTACATTGTTGAAGTGTTAAAGGAGAATGTATATTTCAAGTAAGTTTCAATAAGAACTGTAATGAAAAACAGTAATGAAATTTTGGGTTTATGAGATAAAGCGCTTCATGCTAAGCGTGAAGAAGGCATACGGCACGGAACCCTGCGTGGGTTCGCAGGTTCAAATCTAGTGGGCGAAAATTATGTTCGAAAGAATTGCTGGACTCCTCGCCACCATTAGTTGGATCACATACTTTTTAGATAGATTTGTGACCGAAAACCACTTTTTCCTCCAAGTCTATGCTTCTAAATAAAATAACTAATCATATCCAGCATGGATTAGTAACCGAACAAGCGGTCGTGCTTTGCCAAATGATTAAGCCCCATTATCGATTTTCCTTTCCCCCAAAACAAATAGGCAAATTCTATTCGATTTATGTGTGTCCATCTATGTGTGTGTGTTACACATAACAGTGCACTTTTAGCTTCGTAGTCATGCATACAATACGGCACCTTCACCTGTCAGCTATTCTTCAATCCAAATTTGCTCTGACGTATGAATAAGTAAGACTTAGGTAGCATTCGATTATAAAGTAATTTACTTTGCTCGAACAATAACTTTATTTTTGTGTCAATATTGCCATTTTCTTCAAAATAGAATTGAATATTGTTTCAATATATATTTTTGTATTCTAGAGATATCAAAACTACCAAAACAAAATGCAAAATTGATGGGTTGAAACAGGGAACATCTTACACGTTCCAAGTTGCAATAAAAAACTCAAATGAGACAACAAGTTTGTGGATTGTATCCAATACATTGAAGACAAAATTGAGTGAGATAATAGCAATAAGTCTCGATTTTTATAAAATAATTTAAAATTGTTTCAATTATCATTTAGTTCCTAAAGTACATTTTTCTCATTTATCATATTTTTCAATATAAATTATATAATTTATGTTGTTTGGATATTCTTCATACCACTGGATTCCAATCGAAATTTTGCGATTTCTTTAGCAAAATATGTCAAAAAACATTAAATTTCAAAATTTTATCAGATGCTGTTAAAGTGGAAAATTTCAATATTCAAAGAGGATCCGAAGATCCTGCTACAACACTTTATTGTACTTGGAATCTTCCACCAGGAGTGGATGGTTTTAAACTGCGGTATCAGCGAGGAACAGAAGACACCTTTGTCAAGTGTTTGAAAAAAGATTGCAAAGAGTATGTTATTGAAAATCTTTTGCCAGACACCAGGTACACAGTTGATATTAAAGCTGATAAAGATGGATATGGTCCTTACACAACACCGGAAACTATTAACACAGGTGTGTATCGTTTGTATCCCGAAGTGCTGCATTGTGTTCGCTTACCATTACATCTTTGCTTATCTCGCATGGGTTCGCAGGTCAAATCCTCTGAAGGATAATTCAGTGTGAAAGAAGTGCTAGACTCTTCGGCACAGAGTGGTAATCACTAGTCGGTTAAGACTTACTCCATTCACCTACTTAACAACTATGCATATTCCTTATGCTTTGTTGTTGTGTACAAGTAAATAATTAAATTAGATAAAAACAAGAAAGCAATGCCCAAATATTTAAATATATGCTAAAGTGTGACAAAATAAAGTGTTTCAATGAACTAACATAAAATAGCAAAATTTGGATAAAATGTCTTGCCTACAAGACTTGGAGGAAGTTTGAAAAAAATTAATAGCTGTCCAGTATCTTCTTCCATCTTCAAATACTGAAATTTGGGTACTCCCGTAGTATGTGTACCAGGTTAGTGTTAGAACATAATTTTATTTTGATTTCTGTTTATTTTTGTTCTAACACATGTTCGGGGACTGTCTGCGTTAGCTAGGTGAATATACCCTCTTGCCCGTAGGTTTCAGTCAACTCGATGTTAAGTAGACAAACAAAATTAGTTACTTCCATATTGGTACACACACTTCTGGAGCGCCTGAACTTACAATATATCGTTTCATTCTTTGCAGAGGAAATTGTTTTCAAATAATGGCGTTAATTTATCGAAGCAATTTATATCCATTAAATGTCCGATTCAATATTTAATTCTTCCATTTCAGATGTTGGGAAAGTTAGCAAAGCTTGGTTAAAACTGGACAAAGACAAGTTGGATTCTGTGGTTGTTAAGTACAATGAAGCATTGAACGCTACATCTCACCTCATTCAGCTATGGGATTCCAGTGCAGAAGACAAACCGCAGGTTCGCACAGATGATGGTCTGTTCACTGATTTAAAGAATAATTGTAGTTACTATGCAATAGTGACACCAATGTATGGACAGAAGAAAGGAAAAGAAATGCAAACTGAGGAGATTCTAACAGGTAAAATGAACATTTTGTTTGTAGGGTGAATCTTGTGGGATGGTTGAATGTGAACAGATTTTTGAACTCCCCATCATAGTGGAGTGGATTACATGGCCACCAGTTAATGCTTCTTCTTTTGTCAAAGCTATTAATTATTGAAATTTCAAACACTGCAATCATCAACCATTTAGCAATGAAACTTTATTGTGTAAATTAATTTTAGCACCTAAAGCTCCTCTGATAATGAAAAGCAACTTCATACCGGATGGAGAAAACCCAAGTTCAGTTTTCCATCTCTCCTGGAAATCCCAACCAAATTGCTGTGAGGAAGAAGTTAAAATTGCGTGCTTGAACTTCAAAGATGAACCACAAATACTAAGACATGAAAAAGGAAGCAATGAAGATGGAAAATGCTTTCTTACACATCGATGTAGCAGATCCGGATGCAAATATGGAGTGCAAATGAGAACGCGCAATCGTGGCGGTTTTAGTGAATGGTCAATGCCGTTTACATACACTACAGGTGGGATATCAGTTTAGAGCAATATTTGTATTAAAATGTCTTTTTATTAAATATATTTTGAGATGTTCTATCAAAAAAATTCCAAATTTGACAAGAAGTTGCATTGTAATTATAGATTGTAAACTTCCCATCAGAAGTTTTGGTCATTAACTCGACTAGAAGTTCAAATTTAGTTGTCATTATTCAAAGACATCTAAATAAAATTATCATAGTATTCACAAACTTTGCTAATATATTGCAGTGATTCACAACATTTTTTCCTTCTTGGCCCACTTCCGTTGTACAATAATTTTGTGGCCAATTAATATATTCATGCAAGGGAAAAACTACGTGAAATTCAAGAATTTCTTTCCGCAAAAATAGGCACTTTCGTTTTAATAATTAGAAAAGTAAATATCACTCAGCAGCAATAAGAAGCATCATTATTCATTGCTACTAAAATCAAATTGAACTATAAGTTTTTGTGGTCCAGCAATGAGCCATGGCCAACTGGTTGAGAACTAGTGATATAAAACCGATAACCACTTTTGCATCTCTCCGTTTACCAGTTCCAGCCAAAGTTTCAAATATTGGGTTGGGAATTGTAGAAGACCAGATTACTTGCTCATGGGATGGATCTTTGAATGCCGATAACTATAAAGTAATCTTGCATGAATACAAACTAAACGGTGAATGGGAAAAACTAGAAGAACAGGTAACCACCTATTGTGTATCTGTATCATCTATCGGAACCTGCAGCTCTTTGATCTCAAAGCTCTGGCTCATTTGAATCAAAGTGGTTACAGCAATTTTTTGTCGGTAGCAGTGGAGATTCAATGAAAGGGGTGACATAAAGACAAATACTCCTCACTTATTACATACCACAGCAGTTCTCTAAGTATAAGTCGCGGATGTAAAATGGGTCGCATTTTAACATGATGCAAGTCTGTCAAAACAAATTTTATCTTTTCATTTTATCACTAATTTTATTACCGGTATTGCATCATTTGTATTCTATCTGGCTTCTTGGTAAGAACTAGATTATTGCACTCTAAGTGGTTTCCGAGAGTTTTAATAGCCACTAACAATAGACTAAATGTTGCGGCTCCGAGTAGATTTGAATTTGATGGAAAAGATGCCAAATGACTCTTTGAATGCTAAAGGTTGCCGACTTGCTACTAGAGAACCAACGGGCAACATGGTGACAAAACCACCCCAATCTATGCGGGAACACTTGGGGGTCCATACATTTTTGAATAAAAATTGAGCGGTCTACAGTAAAAAAAAGTTGGGAAGCCCTGATTTACAGGGTGGTTATGTCATGTTGTTAGCCATTTTCATCTTTTGAATTTCAAAATGCATCTATGTTGGGAAGATCCATGGAGTCTACAAGATGCAAACCAATGTATTTTGTATTGTAACCAATGGTCGTAGTTTGATTACCATTATTAGGCTAATGGACCAAGCTTTGATTTAACACGAAAAAGATTTTGATTTGACATTTTTGTAAGAAATGAATAAAATATAGTATGTGCTTCTTTCTACTTTTGTTATCTTAGATAGTTTGAATTTCCTAGTGCGAAAAGCTATTTCATATAGTGTTCTTCATCAGGAAACCTCTGGATGTAGCCATTCTTTCGAGACAGAAGCTGGGTATGGAATCTTATATGCATGTAAAGTGATCCCATGCAATACAACCGGTGAAGGAGAGACGGCTTGGTCTAACACTGAACTATCTCGTGAGTTATTGTTAATGTTCATTTGTCAGCATTTATTTCGTTGTTTACATTCAAATTATTTGCTTCCATACTTCGGATAGATAGGGGCGAAAATTATATCTGAGACATGCATGAAGTTTTTCACTATTTCTGGTGCCAAGTATTCCGAAATTTGTACTTTTCATACAAACTTTTTGTTTCAATCACCATATTATCATGCCAACTTCCATAAACCGTGGAGAACAGATATAACAGTATGGCAGTTTCTGTGATACTGTGTGGGATGTACAATAGGATTGCTGAAATTGTCATGGTTACTGGATGGTTCTTCTTCTCACGGCTCAGTAATGGAATAGCTCGCAGACCCCTAAGTTTACTTTACAGAGCGCTGGGGCGTCAGATGAGACACTTTGAGAACATGTGCTTAACATCACTATACTCTAGCTTAGTGGTTCCCAAACATTTTTGATATATTCCTCCTTTTGCTTATTTTGCCTTTATTCCTCCCTCACTATGTCTCCCTCCATTGTTTCTGTGATTCATTCAGTTTTTAATTGGTCTTTAGCTAGCGTTATGTTCAATTCACACCTTTGAATAGTTTATAATATAAATATGTATGATAACTACCATTTACAATATCAGCAAAACAGGCCGAATGCAAAGTTATATTTTCCCTTTAACAACAAAATTCCTCCTTAGAGATCTTACATGTTTTCATTTTAGCTCTTCTACCTCCGGAAAATCTGACGTTTGAGTTTAAAGATGATGGAATTCAATTCTCTTGGAAAAATTCAATCGGAATGTCATCAGCAAAAGTTCAACTCACAGATTTCGAGAAATTTAGCGAAACAAATATTACAAAGCAGAGTTCATGGAGTTTTTTCAAACTTTATAATGGAACCTCCTATAAATTCAAAGTTTGGGCGGGAAATGGCGACCATCTCAGCAACCAATATGCATACCTAACTTTTGCAACAGGTAAATACTTCGGTTGAAAAATAATTAAGGCATGATTCAGTTGTTCATAAGTTTAAGAAGGGAGGAAGGAAGTTTAGGAAGAAGTAAGAGAGTTTATTTGAGATTTAATGAGCATAACCGGGATCATCTTAGTACTAAATTATTAGTACCAGACCAAATTTATTGCACATTTGTTTAACTGGTTTAAATTTAAAGTGAACGAAAAAATAAAATTGGACTGTAGGCTTAATTAGGGTATTGAAACCATCGCAAAACTGCTTGCTAATTGCTTGCCGGTATCCAAAATTTGTGCACCAGCAAAGAAGTAAGAGAATGAAATTTTTTTCATTTCAGATGCATGACTTGATAATGAATGCAGTTATAACTGACTAGTAGTTACATTACCCCTTACAAAGATGAGATGTCTAAGCAATCTTGTCCCACATACCGGTAATTATCCCCCACAAAGTACAATGCATAAACTTTGCAGGATGTGCTGTGGTGTGTTGACTGTGTTTCTACTACTCACCAGTGTGCATCAACCATGGAACCTGTAATTTGATGCCGTTAACGACCAACTAATCCCTCTGATTCCTGGAAAAGACTGAATGAATTTCCTATTTTATATGACATATTTATATGCTTTTGCCCTAACCAAGGCTTTTTGTGAATAGCCACTGTTAAATAAGGTGCTACTAAACTTTGAAGGGGCACGATTCTTTTGATGATATGTCTTTAAAAGCCACTGAGTTACTGCCACTGCCAAATTTTAATATGCATAGCAATACGACGAATAATTATTAATTTTTTTAGCTCCAAATGATGTCATTGTCAAGAGAAATGAAGAGAATCCAGAGACAAGCTTGGACGTTGAAGTTGTCACAAGACATGATGGCCCATTTACTTTGATCATTAATGGCGATGAATTTATGAGGATTAGGAGCCGGCATTACGTAATTGAAGATCGTCAACCTGCCACAAAATATGAGATTGGTGCTCAATCTATCTTTGACACAAACAAAAAGACATCAGTTACATTTGGGAAACCAGTAACAACACGTAAGTTGGGTTTTGTTTTGGCCAAATAAAGCAGTGCTAATTCTCAGGAGGATGACCATTCCTATCTTACAGATTTACAGAACGCAAAATACATTGATAATACATGCTAATAATATCTAACGGCACCCCGATTATTAGAACCAATTCCTCAGGACGTTTTTATTATCTTTACCTCAAGCCACAAATGGTAAGGGGACTGCATTGTTTTTTGAAGTAGTACAATGTCTCTTGATCTGCATATACTTCATTTTATTTTGCACCAAGATTCAAGCTTGATAAAACTAAAATGAAAAACTTGGCAAAATTTAGCAATTTAATAAAATTATGTTATTGACAGTTCCAGCAAAAGTATCTGGAGTTACTTGCCTTCCTATTGAAGACACATCTGGCATGACCTTGAAATGGGACAATTGTGGTAATCCGAATATCAACTATAAAATAAGTTGGTCAAAAGATTATATCCCTTGTCATCCCATTACTTGTGAAAATGCTGAACACAAGTTTGTTGATCTCAAGCCGGGAACTTATGAATTCAAGGTTTCTGCTGGAGGCGCTGACTCTGATCCCTACGTAGTTATTGGTTAGTAAGTTAGGAATAAGGTCATTGATGTCACGACTACTTGCTTCTATGAGATGTTCTCACATCTTCACTTCAAGCAAGGTTCTAAACCAGCTAGGGATAGGTAATATGCTAGTGTTTTAGAAGCCTCGGCGATGTGGCGACTTTGTGCTAAGCATTTGGAATATTCCACTGTGTGAGTTCGCAGGTTCGAATCCTATGCGGGGACAGTTAGGTGCGAAAAGGATTTCTGGGTTCTTACCACTGTAGGGTGGTTCACGTAACCACTGGTCAGGTATAGCTCCCTCGGTTCTATGGTTTGCCATATGATTCAGGCGTCTTATCACCTTTCCTGTCTTTCGAGATAAATATGTAAATCCTATCCCAAGTACCAAAGCTAGCCAGTTTAGCATTGTCTAAGCTTGTACTTGTACCCATTCACCGACAATAATTCAGTGCATATACAGGTCTGGTGTGAGGAAGAGGAAAGCCAATGAGACGCCTAATCGTATGAAAAAACACAGCTTCTCATTCAGTTACCCGTATAGCCCAAGAACGTTGCAATGGGACATACTTTACATACCTGTAGTTATGGGAAGTGGAGAGCCAAAAAGACGACTTGATCATATGGCATATCACAGCTTCTCACATGGTTGGTTACCAGTCCATGTCGTATAGCCGCGTCGTAAAGTTTTTCTTCTTCTGGAATGAATATAAAATTCTGTTTTATTACTATGTGATTCACATTTGAATTTAATTCTATTTTGCAGTGCCAGAAACTCCTAAAATCAATGTTGAGATTCTCACAAGCAAATTGATGCACGTCACCTGTGATAATGTAGACCATGCCGACGAATACATTTATAAGATACTCTCAGACAATTTGGATACACTGAAAATTCTGGAAAGCAAAAAACCTGAATTGTGGATTGATGAACATAATTTCCAATTTCAAGTTGGTACCGAATATCTACTTGCTGTCCAAGCTTGTTGTCACGACGATAATAAACAAAACCATATGAGCCTTCCTTCGAAAAGATGGTTGTATACAGGTATGGATATATATGTTAACGGTTGGCACATCATGCGAAATGTTAGAAAGATGCTAAGATGCTTACAAAATAATCTCAGGGACTAGTAACCGGATAATAGCCATGGTTTGCCATATGATTAAATCCTCTTATTGGCTTTCCTTCCTCGAATATGGAATTGTCAATTTATAATATAGAGCTTTTATAGTTAGAATTACTCAACAGACTCTGTCATGTATATCCCGGGGTGGGGCAACGGCTATGAAACAGCCTAATGGTATGGTGAACTTCATCATTTTAATCCTGGGTTGTGTATTGGCCAAAAATGTATCATAGACTCTATCTTGCCTGTTCGAAAAAAATGGAAAATGGCTTTTATAGAATATTCCTATTCCTTCTAATGCCATTGAAAGACTGAAATATCGACTATGAGTTTCGAAATATACTTGATCATTTGTGATGGAGTACTCTGACCAGTGGTAACGTGAACCACCTCATCTCATGCTGAAATCACACGTCCCTTCAGTTTGGCCCTTGCAAGATTATCCATGGTAATCAACAAGTGCACGTTTCTAGCTCTTTGCACAATGCAACATAGAGCAAAAACGTTTTGGATCTATTGTCATGACAACACAGTGGTAGTCTTAATTCTAAACTATAAATATATTTGAATTTGATGTGTTTTATCAGGATTGGAAAAACCTATGGATTTAAATGTCAAGCTTGACAATGTCACACCAACGAGCAAAGCGGAATGCACATGGAACAAATCACCTGGAATGCTGAAAGCAAAGATACAAGTTCTGGATTCCCAGGAAAATGTCATCAAAGACTCGGAGACTCCAGACTTGAAATTAAACCTCTCAAGTCTCAAGCCTAACCAAACGTATGAAGTAAAAATTTGGCCTGGTGATGGAAAAATGTTCTTTGCTGATAATTGTGCAAGTTTAAAATTTGAGACGGGTATGTGTATGAGTTTTATATTTGGTTCTCTATATTCAAAATGCTTTTTACAGCCGCATAAAATTGTATGTGCATCGTCGGCCTTCAAGTATTTAAAGTGCCCAAGCGAATCAAAATTCTAGTTTGCTGTCTCTTAACAGCTTCCCTCAACAACTTTTGTTTCTTTTAAAAAATAATACCCAAATAATGATATAATTATATCACTTCATTTCCATTACAGCTCCCAATCAACCAGACAAGGTGACTTGCACTCAGAACAAACAGGACAGAACCCATTCTATCGATGTTACAATTTATTCTGATTATTCTGGGCCTTTCATCGTCCATGTGTTGGACTCTCGCCGGAATATAGCTAAAGAACCGATAGAAACCAATGACAAAAGCATGACTGTAACCAACTTACAGGCTGGTGGGTCATATTTTATCTATGTCCAATGTAAGTTTGGGGATTATCTTACGGCTATGACACATGGTATGTATTGCAAATAAACGTTTGCTCTTTTGTACTCCTGAGAAATGAATCTAGTTTCTCTTGAACATCTACCAAGATGGCAGACACCGGAATGTAGTATGTGTACCCAGTTAGGGTCAGGCCTTAATTTTATTTTAATTTTTCTTATTTTAGTTCTATTTCGAGATCAGGGACTAGCCAAGTGACTCCCGTAGTATTTGTATCTAAAATTATGGCCTGACCCTAACCTGGTACACATACTACGTTCCGGTGTCCGCCATCTTGATACGCATACTTCAGCAGCGCCTTACAATTATATGATTGAGCTGTTTATAATATAATTAATCATAACTTTCCTTGATACCCAATTCAAGGAAGAGTTTTTTCAATTTCATAGTTGGAGCCCGTGAAGAGGTTGGCAAATATTTATGGAGCCTCATAATAAATTTATAAAAATGAAAATTTTCTATTGGAACTAGATAATGCCATATTCGAATTACCTGCCTTGTTGCAATATTCCCACAGTTGTCAAATTTTAATAATGTCATTATTGCCTCTTTGGACTGTTACAAAATTACCCAAGTCAGTATTTTGATAAGTAAACGAATAGCTCGTGGAGTCGCTATGTTTTCTCAGGGAGCCCTGAGGTTTCATGATCTGTTTTTATTAAATATGTGCCACAGTTATTAGCTTCTCATATATCATTATGGAACAAGTTCTGTAGTAATTTTTAGTGAATTTCAAATTTTTTCTGTAATTGAAAGTTTTTATTACCATTGTTAATTCCTAAATTTCTTATGCAGTTATGTCGATATTTTTCGTTATAAGTTCATTGTGTATTTTCATTTTAGCAAAAACGATTAATCACAAAGTAAAAACAGGGCCACACGGCATTCCTCTTCGAGTATTGGCTATTGTGCACAATACGCTCATACTTATTCGAAACTGCGAAAGTAATTATGGTAGCATAGATGCCTTGGCAAGACTTTTTCCTACTGCTTAACAATTAATTCATAAATATTTCTCGCACTCCGGAAGTATGTGCACCAAGATGACGCACAACCTGAACCTGGTACACATACTGTGTTCAGGTTGATGCACATATTTCGGGAGCATCATATTTCTTTATTTACTGATACCAATAAGTTAGCAAAATAAGTGACCATGCTAACACCCTCAATGTTTGTAATTATGTGTCAGTTTTTTTTAACTTCTAGTAAAAGCAAAGAATCGAGTTTAATGGAATGGAGTTGTGAATATTTTTTTTCGATTTTTCTTGAAAATTTTGTAAAATGTGATTAATTTTGAACCACCAGCATTTTGCTTTATCATATGTTAATTCCATTATAATTATTATAATCAGCATCAATTATGGTTAATATAGGGTGGTAATTTTTAGTCTCATTGAACGATCAAAAAATTGCTCCCTAAAAAGGGTGGGATTCTTATATTTATTCTTGGTGATGGCAAAGACAAAGAAGATCATTATACGAGGTTGGATATTGAAATAGTCAACCAGATAAGTAATTTTTTACCGACCAACAGTGAAACCCCAGCAATGGCATAGAGTTGACCAATCCGCCATTTTTGGATTCGAATCAACGAGACTACTTAGGGTAACAGTGGTGGGTTGAACCATATTCCCTAATTTTTCTCAGGAGTATTATGTGTTGATTTTTATCAATTTCTTGTGACAAAAATTAAAGAGTTCAAATTTTATTGGATTCTGAATATTTTATTTTGCAGATATTGTGTAAGTAATTAATCATATTACATTTTGGTTTTATCATATGTAATTTACATTATAATTTATACCAATTATCCAGTGTTAAAAGCTGTAATTCTAAAATAAATGTGTGATAAATCTCATGGTCTAGCTTTCCTTTGCAACTTGTAAAATAAGTATAAGTTTATTTCAACTCCATAGTCAGCATAACAGACGATAAAATAGTTGATAAAAACTTATTTTAGAATCAGGAGAGCAAACAAAACCTTCTACCCTTCCACGAAAACAGTAGGGCTTTAGGGGTGGCTGGGTGACGTTTATTTTCATTAAAAAACAAAATTACAAAGTAGGAAATTTCCAGAAATTCCAAATATACAAAAAATGAAAGCCAATATTCATTTACATATAAATAAAACGGTTTTATTTAAAAAAAAACTGCTAGGTCGCATTTTAAGAGGAGGGTTGGTATTGAAATCATATTTTTAAATTCAGTCGGGAAAACACGTATATATTGGAGTAGGCGATATCTGATCCACTCAATATAGCTGTTCTGATTCGTGGTATAATATTCTTGCAGTCAATATTTACAGATCTAACAATACAAAGGCATAGGGAAGATGCCATGTTTAGCTTAGGCACTCTTTCAAGTTCTCAGGAGTCGTTATTAGGCACGCTCTAACCCAGTGGTTCTCAAACTTTTTTAGTCCCAGAGCCGCATTTCAAACCTCAAAGTTATAAAGAGCCTCAAACAAACAACGTAAGGTAAAATAGAAACAAACCTTAAGCGCGTATCTAAAATACCAAGTCTTCGTAACAACAACATGCGTAACAACTAGGACTGGGCAAAATATTCGAATATAATAAAATATTCAAATGACATTTTATTAATCGAATATCCGGTAGAACGTGACCTGTGCCGCTCTGCTTGGACACCGAACTCGCTCGTCTCCAACTCAATCGTGAATTGTGTGAGATTTCCCAACGGCGGTCACTGTCAGGAAAAAACGACAAATTTGAAAAGTCGTTGTCTTTGCGTTATGGTGTTATATGCTTATCTTTGCACTTAACGTATCGTTTCAATTCCATATTTTGACCGTTCCGTAAATTTGGAAACGTCAAACCAGATTAGGTATTTAAAATAAATTTCTCAGATTTTGAACTCCGCATGCTTGGTGACATGTCATTAGCCATTACTTGCATTACCGAACATAAAGTTGATTGAAATTGAATGTTAAAATGTCTTTTCGGCGTTTCATTGTAAAAGAGACGATTTTAGGTCGTTAGAAAACTCTAGTTACATAAATAGCATGGATTCAATAATGACCAAAAGTTTTTCCATGGTATGAGTTACTTGTATGAAAAACACTCATTAAGTTGTAACCAGATAAGAAATGTCCTACTCCATTCAAAGCACTTTGTATTAGCTCTTTAGTGATCCCTTCCATCCTTGGCCAAGTAATGTTTCGACTATGTAAACATTTTACTCGACTATGCATGGCCGTTGAGCCAAGAGTAGAACGTAAAATCAATCGTGAATTTCGTTGTAACAATGCACACTGACTCGTTCACGAGTTGCTGCATCTATTATCATCAAAAATGATTACCATTGTTAAATTTTGAAGCATTTGGGCAGTAATAATTACGGTAAGCCTTAAGGCATGACATAGTCAAAACCATTAAGTGAAGTGCTGAATTTGCAAATTCCGTAAAGAAAATTGAGCATTACTCAGTAAGTATTTTAGCTATAATAACGATCGGTGTGTTGTTTTGTTGAAAAAAGAAACTTAAAACTTGAAGGAATTAGTTATAATTAGCGTTTGACCTTCTATTAGGCACAGAGGTCTAGGAATGCTTTTAATGCCAATTTATTTAATCGCTATTTTAAATCAACATTCAGAATTCACGCAATCGTAAATTGGCTAGGTTTATCTATCTAATAATAAAATAACACGAACACCATAGAAAAGCATGAGAAACTCGGTTATCATTTTAATAAATATCTCTCGGTTACTGTTCACTTCAAACAGGCACGGTTAATTTACAAATGGTGATAAGGGAAATCAAATCCAAGGCAGAGGATCAAACTCAGAATAAAATTAATTTGGTTTTGAAATCAGCCCTTAATGTATTCAACAGCTGTTGCTGATGTAAACGCAAGGGTATACTAGAAATATGAAACTTCGATATCCGGCGACACCTTATTCTTGCGAAAATCGAGAAAAGGGCGGGAATATCAAATACCAAGTTTAGGATATCGCCGCCGAAACGATCGCGGTGATAATGACAATCAGCGATTAAGATGAAATTAACCATTAACCAGTAAAAAAACGCTTTATTGCCGACTTTTCAATGTTTCTATGAATTTCACAATGGAGATCGACCTCCGTCGTTCTGGACCTCTGTTATCTATAAAAAATATTTATTATTCGACGGTATTCGTTAAAAAAATTCAAATTATTCCATTCGAAAAAAGATTCGATTTTGCCCACCCTAGACTAACAGCCATTTAATTTGGCTTTGATTTGTAATAAGTTTGTCAAAGAAGGTTATAATCGTGGAGGATGCAAGGTGCAGTAGCTGCTTGAGATAGTCGCCAGATATTTCGGGACTATTTTCGAATACTGGAACAAAATTAAAATGCTCTAAAAATTGGAATAATCATTGAGGTATTTGATTTATACATAATATTCGGAAATACGACAAAAACTGAAAATCCACGAAAGCAAGCCAATGATTACAGCCATGTCTAAAGTTTTTCCAAGTGAAAGTGTCCGAGTGGCTGCAAAAATGCTTACTGTTGCGTCACTATTGCATCTTGTAGATTAGTCAACGCTACGCAAATAAACACGGGGGAATCCATACGACTAACTAATAGAAAATAGACAATGATTAGTTTTCAATGAAAATTTTTTTTTGAAAGTAGGTAATTTCCAAAGCATTAACAAGAGCCGCAGGAAAGGTTGTCAAACCCTAGTTTGAGAATCACTGCTCTAACCCAGGCGTTCTCAAACTTTTTGTGTTGCGGAGCCCTTGAAAATGTTGACTATTATTCACGGAGCCCCAAAATAAATGTTAAAATTGTTATTTTCCGAATAATATTCCTGAGTAAGTTAAAAGTACTTTACTTAATTTAAATGCTAACCTCCTTTGATTAATAGGGTTAATACAAGTCATAAATGAATCTAAATGTCAAAGATAAATTATATATACTAAAGCTGTAAATTTGACACTTGACAAACATATTAATAAATTAGGGGTCGAATCTTTAGACATTTTTGAAAGACTCAAAGGGCCGCTAATAACGTACCGATTGCATTTTGTTACAATCGCCGATTGTTTTCGTCAGCATGGCGGTGTTTATTCTCCCTAAATTGAAAATTCCCTTCGGCATATACATGTATTGTTCCACAATGACGACGAGTATTGCTTTTTTGTTCTCGTGGGGAATTATGAGTTCAATGTGAAAAACATGTTACCATATTATAGTCATCGGAGACGAAATGCTAAAAATAATAAAGAGGTAAATCCGCAACTCAAATTTCTTGATTGAAAAGCGGCATTCTAAAATATTAAAACTAAAACTTAAAATTGAAGATAACACTATAAGTTTTGTTTCAGCAGACTCACGTCTGATTTAAAACGCTTTTATATACATTGTAAACCACAAAATTTGGTTTGTGTTCGGTTTTCTTTGGTTATTCATCGTAAACTGCGAAACAGAAACACAGTCAATTGTGCGCGCGATGTACCTTTTTTTTTCATTCTGAATCTACCGACGGAGCCGCATGCAATGAAATATGAAATAAATTTCAATCTTACGTTTTTTGCCCAGACCTCATGATTTTTTATACGGCGATATCTTGCTCTCGAGTGCGAAAGAACAAAATCAGGCTTGTCAAATCCCAAGATCGCAAAAATACGACTGCAATTTATTTATAGATGGCAGTTTATCGCGTACTTTATGTTATTTCAGAATAGTATTCTTTCATTTTAGTACTCCTAATAGT